GGTTTCTTTTGTTAACATTTGCCCATATTACATTCCCAGAAACAGCTGGAGTCTTTGTGGAAGAAAAAAGATACAGAGGTGGTTGTTTCAGTGTTTCCCACACAAAGCAAAGGAAACTGCATCATTATTCACCACAGTGAGCTGCGGACATTCAGGCCACACCAGTGGCTAACTGGTCAGGTAATGGAAGTAAACTATTATATAATTTTTAAGAGTATAAGATCTAATAAAAGTTTTGAAATTTCAATCACATAAAAATACTGTATATACATTATTATAGTTGTATCTTTGTTGTAATTAATATTTGCTCTATTGACCGATGAACAGTTTACAGAGTTAGGCACGTGCCCCTTTCTAAACCATTTAAAACTTTAAGATTTACAAGAATCAAATAATCAATATTGTAACTTCGACTATGTACTGTAACTGCATAATAATGGAAAGGTATATCCCTTTTTTAATTTTAAGGTGATGTCATGTCAAAGTCAAATATGTATTTTAAAATACCATTTTGTTTTTCAATACACAAATACATAAGAAGTGCAGTACTGCACTGTGTGGCATACAGTGACAAAGCAAACAGTAGAGAGCACCACACACTTGAAAACAATTTAAAATACATCTATGAGATGTGAAATGTTGCTAAACATCTGTAGACTGAACATCTGTAGACTGAACACAGAAGCAAAAACAAACATTGACAACAAGAAGGAATGTGTGATAACCGTTTGTCATCGGGCGGACATGACTCTGACCTGATGGACAACAGTCTCACATAGTCATAGTTTTGCAGTACGAAAAAATTGCCATTTCACAAAGCCAATTAAATAAAATTTCTGATTTTTGTTTTTTTAGGTAATTGAAGGGCTTTTTCACATCATGGCCAATCAGAGTGAGATTTGCAGAAGCCTTTACATCATGAACCACTGCACTGCTGGAGTGATGCTTTTCACAAAACAATCACAGGCTGCAAGACAAACGTTGCCAAAGGTAATTTGAAATTGACTTTTTAATTGTGCAGTTATTTTATCAAGCATATAGGTCAAAATCTAATATCAATACTTAATTAGGTTTGACATGTTCACTAATATTTTTTTACCAGGTTACAAAGATTATCTTAATTAGTTTTATTATAATTCATTAAATGCCTCGAATTGTGTAGATGTTGTCACTACACTTGTATTATATTAAGGTCCAAAAGATGAACATTAAAAAGTATTTCCTCATGAGGAGGTATTCCTATCCATCAAAATAACAACAGTCCTGTAGAATTCAAGCTTTTACAAAGTGGTGTGTTTAGAAAATTACAAAAAAAAAAAAAACTTGTGATAGAAAAACAAATTCACTCCTCACTCCCCCAACAATCATTTGAATAACAGAATATGCTTTTGCTTGTTGATTAAATCAGGAGGCTGACTGACATGGATTACCTAAGTAAAAGAAATGAATAAATAAATAATGCATCTGACATTACCATAATATTTTAAAAGTAACAGTAAAAATGTGCAAATAATGAATTAATGAAATTCTTCAAAGGGTACTACCAAAGAGGTTTATGTAGTCTTGAGT